CAACACACCCGCTCAGTTTGGTATCATCATCAAAAATAATAAGACATGGATAATGCTTGGGGAGCTTTCTGGGATATTTCTGTGGACCATCACTGGTGCTTTTAAAGTATTTACGGTTCTGGGATCACATTGCCTCCCTAATCCCAGGTGCCTTGCAGGACCACTGAGCTTCTTGTTTTTGATGGTGCTGGCAGACTGCAGCTGGTCTGACAGTGAACTTGGTAATACAAATGAGGCAGCGTTACCTGTTAGCTGTCAAACAACATCAAATGGGTTTTTTTAAGCAGGAAGTGAGCTAATACGAAAGTACTCATTTCACATCGAATACATTTTTTTTCTCTGCAGCTATGAGAAGTCAGACACGCACAGGTTTGAGGTACCCCGAATGCTCTCTGAAGACTTAGAAGCCCTGGAGAACTACGTCAACAAGATGAAAGACAAGTCAGTGCTGTGATTGTTCGTTCTCCCAAATGGGGCTTTCAGGGCTGAAATACAACTTGTGAAGAGAGCAGGGAAGGAGGAGGATGAATGCTCTCAGCTGCAAGTTCAGCCCCTGCCTTATCCATTATGATACTCCTGCAGCTTTTCAGGATTATGCTACATCTCACTCAAGAGCTGCCACATCAGATATTAGGCTGAACTCCCTTGTAGTGCAGAGCTTTGAATGTCACCCTTGAGCTGGGGTAAAGCCTGTCTGCATTCTGAAAAAAAAAACTATCTAGTCTTGAGATCAGGATCTCTGGGAATGAAAAATGCAGTTTCTGGCAATTCTTGTTACTGCAATTAATTTTGTTGCTTTTCTAGGAGCCTGTGGAAATGGTGGGCACAGTATCTGGAGAGCCAATCAGATATGGAATCTGCACTAAAATACTACGCGCTGGCTCAGGATTATTTTTCCCTAGTCCGGATCCACTGTTTTCAGGGCAACATTCAGAAGGTAACGCAGCCCGCTCCCATCTGCTTCCAGAGAATTCTCATTCTTAGGATCAGTGTGGGCACAAGGTAACCATATACGATTTCCTTTCCAGGCTGCTGAAATAGCAAACGAAACGGGGAATGGGGCAGCCTCATACCACTTGGCCCGCCAGTATGAGAGCCGGGATGAAATCAAGCAGGCCGTGCACTTCTACACCAGGGCCCAGGCGTTCAACAACGCCATCCGCCTCTGCAAGGTACGGGAAGAGCCGCTTCTGTGTCCAAAAGCAAAGTAGGATTCTGTCCTTAGGCAGCACACAGAACGAAGGTGGTACAAGTTAAACAGGTCTGGAGCACAGGTCTGACGAGGAGTGGCTGAGGGAGCTGGGGGGGTTCAGTCTGCAGAAGAGGAGGCTGAGAGGAGACCTCATCACTCTCTACAGCTGCCTGAAAGGAGGGTGCAGTGAGGGGGGTGCTGGGCTCTGCTCTAAAGTAACAAGTGATGGGACAAGAGGAAATGGCCTCAAGTTGCACCAGGGGAGGTTTAGATTGGATATCAGGAAACATTTCTTCATCGAAAGGGTTGTCAAGCATTGGAACAGGCTGCCCAGGGCAGTGGTGGAGTCTCCATCCCTGGATGGGTTTAAAAGATGTGTAGATGTGGTGCTTAGGGACATGGTTACGTGGTGGGTTTACGGTTGGTGATCTTTGCCAACCTAAGCAATTCTGTGATCCTCTGATTCCAAGCTGTTTGTGCCCACTCTCTCTCCTGCGACACAGCTTGCTCATTTATAGCCCACTATGAAGATGCTCCTGGTTTCTGCCTGCATCTTCTGCAAAAGATACATCAGTAAAGGCTCGGTTGTATGGGACATTATTATCTTCTGTATCTCAACAGAAAACTACCTGAAACAACGTATCATCAGTGCAGCTCAACCTTACCTGGGTTGGTGTAGGTTTTACATAGAAGGGGTTGATGGGCTACTGTGTGACAGGCTAAAGCTGGAGGCTTGCAAGAAGAGAGACTTATTAAATCTGTTTGCTGCATACCTAGAGCCAAATCTCTGTTTTTGAATAGGAGAACAATTTAGATGATCAGCTGATGAACCTGGCTCTTCTGAGCTCTCCAGAAGACATGATGGAGGCAGCCTGCTATTATGAGGAGAAGGGGGAGCAGATGGACAGAGCTGTCATGTTATACCACAAGGTAAACATCTTTTTTTCATTAAAAAAAAACCAAACTAAACTGAAGTGGTTCCTACAGCAGAGGATCATTAACTTGATTGTAGTTTTTACTATATGTACTGTTTATTAGTCATTTCTTCACGGTGACTACTATCCACTCTAGGGTATCCTGTGAACTGATTCTGCAGTGCTTATTTCTAGTCTTTAAAGACTCATTCTTAATTCTGCAGGCAGGACACTTCTCCAAAGCACTGGAGCTTGCCTTTGCCACGCAGCAGTTTGGGGCCCTACAGCTAATTGCTGAAGACCTGGATGAGAAATCAGACCCTGCTCTGCTAGCACGCTGTTCGGATTTTTTTATTGAACACGCTCAGTATGAGAAGGCAGTGGAGCTGCTGCTAACAGCCAAAAAGGTGAGCTCCAGCCTCCCTGTCCCTCCACGCACCGGCAGAGAGGAGCACAACAAGAGTGTACACACACACACATACATTTATCGTTGCTGGCAAGCAGACATGTGGAGACATTTGGAAGGTTTAAAGTTTCTACTCATGCCAGTGACTCCTCAGGTGGTAGCCCACTGGCTCAACTCTAGAAACAGATTCCTGACTTTTTGTCCTATTTTGGCCTCAAACTTGCAGAGTTTGCACTCATGGGAAAAGAAAAAAAAACTTCCTACTCTCTAAGCTAACATATTTGGAGACAGGGTAACATCACCACTCAAAAAAGTCAGTGGTGTCCCTCTTGTCACACCACCAGTGTAGTTAAGGCGCATAATTTCTCACCTAAACTTTTACACGCTTCTGCCTCGCCCTTGTTATTGTGCTGGCAACTCAGCCTCAGCCAAACGCTGAGTACCAAAGCAGCCTGTGCCCCTTCCTCTTTAATGAGCTCCTACAGCTTACTTTCTTCCATGTTTTGCAAAGGCACAATAGCCCTTTTCTGGGACAAAAGCTATTGTATATCCTACTCATACTTTGTTCCTATATGGGAGGTAGCAAAATATTTAACAAAATCTTTCAAATGCCTGTATTTATTTTCTTTGTATATGCTGAAAACCTTCATATAATCAACCATGCCTAATAAATCTGACTCGTATGTCTCAGAATGTCATGTTCAAAGAGACAAAATGGATGAATCTTTAGTGCCCCACTAGTGACCTCCGAGAAAACAGGTGAGAAACAGTGGTCTTCATGGAGGAACAAATGTGTTTTTAGCGAATAAAACCAGGAGTTGCTGTCGGGATGCTGAACTCCACAACTGTTCTAGACAGAGCATCCCCAGCTGCTGGCGTTGGTGCCATCAGGGAGCTAACTTCCGTAGGTTACACCACAAGCAATGTGAAGTATCACTGTCATGTTTGCAACATCTCATTTCTTCCTCACTTCCCCAGTACCACGAAGCTCTGCAGCTTTGCCTGAAGCACAACCTGACGATCACGGAGGAGATGGCTGAGAAGATGACGGTCTCTAAGGACTCCAAGGACCTCTCTGAGGAGTCCCGTAAGGAGCTGCTGGAGCAAATTGCTGATTGCTGCATGAGACAAGGCAATTACCACATGGCAACAAAGAAATACACGCAAGCAGGAAACAAGTTAAAGGTCAGCCTGGATACACATTAAAAAAAAAAAAAGCTGAAGAGGCTGAGCCTATTACCATCCCAAGATTTCTCAAAACAAGTGTGTTTTGAGAAGTAAATCTTGGAGCAGTCTTCATCCAGTAGACTATCCAGACGAGGCTTCCAGCCATCTTGCTGTAGGTTGTGTTTGTGCATTGACAAGGATATTTTTTTCCCTCTCTTCCCCTTTGCATTGCTAGGCTATGAGGGCACTGCTGAAATCTGGAGATACCGAGAAAATTGTCTTCTTTGCGGGAGTTTCCAAACAGAGAGAGCTTTATATCATGGCAGCCAACTACCTCCAGTCACTGGATTGGTGTAAGGACCCCGAGATCATGAAGTACATTATCAGCTTCTACACTAAAGGCAGGGCCCTGGACCTGCTGGCAGGTTTCTATGATGCATGTGCTCAGGTACATCCCCCGTCTGTAATGGGTAAAGGTGTTTGGGTTCTTAGCTCTGGAGCAAGACATTCATCTCCTTTCTCCTCTTGCAGGTGGAAATCAATGAGTATCAGAACTACGAGAAAGCACACGGAGCACTTACAGAAGCATACAAGTGCCTTTCAAAAGCAAAGACCAAAAGCCCCCTGGACCAGGAAAGCAAACTGGCACATTTGCAAAGCAAGATGACCCTGATGAAGCGATTCATCCATGCTCGGAGGTGAGCTGCAGTATTCAGAGCATGCAAACTCACGACAGAAATATCATAAAAGAAGAAAAGTTGTGCTAGCACCTACAGTTTAATAAATAATTTGCAGCCTCGCTTTTAAAAGCCGCTATTACATTTTTCTAGCAGGGAAACCCTTATGTGATTTTTAAAAGTGTCGTTGACATTAAAGACAAACAGGTAACTTGAAATACAGGAAAGTGTATTGACTGGAAAGCGTAGCTCTGCCAGAAAGGCAATTATCAAACATACCCAAGCTAAAAAAAAAAAAATCTTCCCTGTTCTTCACATGACAAGCTGAGTGCTCTCCCCCCAGACTGTTTCCTTTTGCTCTTCTCCTAGAGTTTACTCTGAAGATCCCAAAGAAGCAGTCAGACAGTGCGAGCTCCTCCTCGCTGAACAGGATTTTGACAGTGCCATCCATCACGGCGATGTCTTGGGATTTCTGGTTGAACACTACGTACAAGCAGAGGAATTCCATACGGTAAGTTAATTGTTAATTCTACAGAGCCTGTGTTTTACATACGCCAGTGCAGCAGGTACAGCATGGTTCTCATGTAGGAAGACATTCCATCACAGCGACTCCTGTACAGGAGCTGAACGGCTCAGCAGGGGGTGGCAGACCTCCGGAACTATAACCAAATTAATATGTTTTACATTTCGTGGGACTGAAGAAAAAAAGCAAGCTCACAGGACATAGAGCATAAATAGTGGTGGATCCTTAAACCCTCACAGTTACTGGGTAAGAACAGAAGGGGCTGTCTGGGTGCACGTCCCAGCAATTACACTGCACTTCATTTGCCACCTGGCCAAAAAAGAAAAATTCCAAAATGTCAGTCATTTGAGGAAATGGTGAATCACTTGTTGAGGGCAGAAGTGCCACACACCCCAGTGCTTGGCCTAAACTGGAACATGCTGCTGTTATGAAACATGGGGATGCCAAGTGCTGGTTTCTCCAGCTGTGCTGGTTTCTCCAGCTGTGCTGGTTCACCTCAGATTCAACATGTTCTGACAATGCTCCAGCTATCAGAACGTACCACCAGCCTTTGAGAGCCAGTCTTTTTTAAACTGAAACAGAGAGAATTGACACAACTCCCTATGAAAGGTCACCACATTAGCAAAGCTGTAACTCTTGGCGAAGTGTCGGCACCCTTCGCCTCTCCTGGTGAGAGCTCAGCCACCCGCTGAGGGCAGATGCTTTTCACCATTTTGCTGGGACTCCCATCGCAGTACCCCCCTCATAACAGCGATCTCTGTGCATTACTTTAGGCTCACCGGTACCTGGAAGAGATGCAGAAAAGAGTTCCACCCATGCAGCTGGGCTGCTACGTGACACGGCAGAGCATTGAGGCCGTTCTCCGAGGAGTAGGCATTCCTACCCTGGTTCCAGAGCAAATTCACCACAGCAGTGTGGAGAACAAGGAGGTGGAAGAAGAAGTGGCTGATGAAGTGGAGGACGCCTGAAAATGTAGCAAAGGCAAAGTTGCCTTTAATACCAGGACATTGATCGGGTCCTCATGAGGAGTCCTATCAGTCCACACACTGCTGGGACAAGGTTTTGTGGTTATTACAAAAAAATTTATTTTTTTCCTGCTTGACTGTACAAGCAACAGTATTGAAGTTAATATTTATCTCAAACACTACATACAGAGATTCACATGTATATCCTGTAATGAAGCTGGTTTTAGTATTTTAATAAATTTTTGGGGTGGAAAAAAAACCCAACAAGAACTGCATATTGTAACTTCAGGCCTTTTTCCACATGCAGAAAAGAGCTGAGTAGCTGGGGTAGAAACTCCTGAGCTGAGGTTCTGATTTGTCATTCCCTAGAAGTCAGAACTTCTGAAAACAATCATCTCTGTCCCATGTGGGTAAAAGTCAAACTAGTCCCCTACTGCAGAACGAGGGGAGACTCCCCCCACCCCAAAGCTCTTGTATTTCAATACAACATGGGGTCCTATAGGCAAGAGCACCATTTACCAAAATCTGGACTAAACCTCAGAATCGCAGAATGGTTGGGGTTGGCAGGGACCTGTGGAGGTCCTCTGCTCCAATCCTCCCTGCTCAAGCAGGGTCACTTTGAGCCAGTGAAGCTTCTTCCTCACTGCGAAGCTTCTTTGCCAAACACCGCAGTTAATGTCGAGCTACTCGGTACTAGTCACATTTTAGGATGCAAAATTTTTCCCTGGCACAGCAGGACCATGAGAAGTGAAGCCCAATGTAAGCAACCAAGGTTTTGCTCACCTTAAGCCTGTTACCCTGCCGCACAAAGGTGTGTTTATAAAGTCACTCATGTCATACCAACCCGCCCTTCTGCTTGCAGGGATTTTTCTTTTTCCTGTTTTATGAGCTGCTTCGAAACTTGGGGTGAATATGAAGTTTTTAAATAGTATGCTTTCAGGGAAGAAGGGTGGGGGGGAGATTTTGGGGTCAAAATTTGGACGTTAGTTATCCTTTAATAGAAACTTATTTCTGTACTAAGATTACACAAAAAGAATTCCCGCTTTGGTCCTTGCTAACCACAGCACAAGCTCTAGCTCAAGCCTTTCAGGTTTGGCACATTTTCAGAACTTCAGTGTAGCTACTCAGTTCTTGCATCTCATCAGCAGAGTCACTCCCTGCACCGTGCCACCCCTTCCAACAGCAGACCGGGAACTATTCCCCCAAACGCTGACTGCTAGAAGTGGGAGCCTTTGTTATGGGCATGTCATGGACTGAGCCGTGGGAGGTAAGTGGCCCTTTCAAGGCCTCCTGTTTTTCTGACAAGAAGTCTGCTATGAGATCTTCCCTGTATTTTTAGCAGAGCACTTGAACCTGCCAAGGTTATAAATAGCTGGGGGTGGGGGCTGGGAGGCGCAGGGAGGATGGCAGCGCTAGCCTACCTTCCTGCATCTGTACACGCCGTACCGGATAGCACTAGCTCACTAAATTGGCCTCCACTACAAAGTCCAGATGTCAAGTCAGGTTTGCTGGCTTCCAGCTCTGCACCCTCCCCCCCTTTTTCCTCTTCTCCCGCCAGGTGACTGCTGAAGAGGCCCCAGCGGTGCCTACACACATCCAGCTGGCAAGGGTATGAGGTCAAGGTCATTTCTTTTACCCTTCAGCTAGGAAGGGACAGATTTGAGTTTCTGTTTCAGGTTCTCCATTAGCAACAAGTTCTGCAAGGCCAGCCTCCTGCAGTCCCCGTCCGGATCTTTCTCCACCACATCTGTAAAAGAAGCAGCCACTGTTAGGTGGAAAATGGGAAAAACTGCTCTTCAGAAACACTACAGAAACCATCCGAGCTCGCATTCTGTGGGATAACCTCCAGGCTGGAATTTATCCTTGTGCCCTTGAGCTATACATACTCTTCCTGCAGCTGATCTAGCAGGACACATGCAGGTTGCTATCAGAAATCCACTTACTCAAAAGCCTGAAGTCTCCATTCTGACAATTCCTCAATCTAAACATATGCTCAGTGCTCACTCCCAAGATCTGTGGTCACTCTGCCCTTCAAGGGGGGAAAAGAAAGAGGCAGGCCCTGAGTTTCAACGCGTTCTCTGGAGGCTAATCTTCCGTAAGTAGAAAGAAAGCAGAAAGAAATGAGTAGTTTCACACTTCATGCAGCGTGTAAGGGAGGGCATGAAGCTGCTTCCAGCAGCTGTTATTTCAGGGGCCCTTAATGGGCCTGCAAAGTAAAAACCAGGATGCATGCAGGATGTCTGAGCAGGGGAGCCTGGAAGAGCAGTGAACCCATGTGAGGATATCCTGTACGCACAAGCCGTGTGCTCGGAGTCCAGTGCTGTCAGCCCAAACACATGACTCATTCAGATGGAGTAGCGCTATTTATAACCTCGGGGAGAGCTGCACAATGGTGTTTCCATACTCCCTCTACAGAAGGCAAAAGGGGGAGGCTGCAAGACAGGTCAGTACATGCTCCAAAGCGAGGAGACCGATGCTGGTACCGTTTCTGATCGCCATGCGCACAGACCTTGAACTGCTGGCACAGGGCACCAGAGGATGGTTCGGGTCCTCACAAACCAAACTGATCTGTGACACGGCTCAACAGCACTTACAAGGGGTGGGGAATTCCCTGAAAGGCATCTGCTGAGGAATCAAAGGACCTGTTTCCTAGAAATGGTGAGGTATTCCCTCCCTCCCCTGGGAACGACGAGGCTACTCAGTACTAGGTCCAGCATGGCATTAGGGGCAACAACAGACAAGCATGAGGTGGATCCCAGCCTCTCTCCCCAGCTGGAATGTCCCAAAGCATCCACTGAGTGGACAGGACCGTGACAGCAAATGAAGTACATTTTATACCCCACGGCTAACGCTTTCTAATGGGGAACAGTTCTTGCTACAGGCAACAGCCAGCTGTATTCACACGATGAACGCCAGCGATCTGCATAGGCTGTGATCTACCAGCAAACTGGAGCAGATTTGTAAATTTCTACTAAAGGCTTCATGGATAACATTTTGTACCTACTGTTCCTCATTGTGCCCCAGAAGGCGACATGCAGATGCTTTAAGCTGAAACCCAAAGTGGTGACTTCTCCTGGCTCTTAGACACGGCAGCAGACACCTTGTCATTTTTCCCAGCTACAGCAGCGGATCTAATACATGATACCTCTTGCCAATCTTCTCTGGAAGTCATGCAGCAAGTCCGCTAGCTCAAAAACGATTCAGTCACAGAAGCAGGTCTCTAGTGACTGACTTCACCTGTCAGAGCAGCAGGAGGAGCCCAGCGCCTCCCCGGGAGAGCTGTTGTACCACCAACCTCAGCACAAAGGGCAAAGGCGCAGCCCAAGCAGCAGCTCTAGAAGGATGTGCAAGATTTAAATTGCACTTAAATTGTATCCAATCAGATGTGGAGCTGAGTTGTATTCTTTAAGGTTTCTAAATGGTTCCTAGAACAATTTTGCCTTCTCTACTACACACACAACTGTGATCTTACTCTGCTCTCGTTCCCACCAGGATCCACTGTGCAATTTTCATGTCAAAGCACTACAGGGAAAGAGATAGCTACTGCACTCCCTACAGGCATAAAAAGATGCTCCTAGCTCTGTTGTTTTCCTCTTCCACAAATAACTCATTACAAACAGATTATGCAGACCCTCATGCTGCAAATGCATTTCTAACATTCCTGGAAAGGTTTTACTTGGCAGTAGCAGTGTTAACTGCAGAGACAAGCAGATTCCTCAGAGCACACCATGTCATGGGAAAAGTAAAGGGTTTGGCCCCACAAGGCACCTCTCTTCCTTTTGAAGGGCACAGAGCTCCACAACCTGCAAGGAGCAGAGGCTGGCCGTGTCAGTGTCGCTTCCTGCCTACTCCCTGTGGGAAGCCAGCTCACCAAGAGAGAGAATGGTGAAGGAAACCAACCCAGGGAGTCACACGAAGTCCCCTCAGAATACAGTGGAGGCTTCAGAGTGACAAAGCACAGAGCAGTATTTCCTCCTGTACTGAACAGCACGCTGCGCTACCCAACCACCAACTCGTGCGGTTCCAGCCTACCAGAACCCACAAATATCGCTGGCGTTGGTGTGAGGTGCGTTGGGTGCAGCATGCAAAGTCATTTGATGTCTTCCATAGGTTGTTCTTTCCATTAGTAGCAGGAAGTTAGGAGATGGGGCCGTGCTCTTCTTCCTCCTAGTTTTAGCACTAATGAAGCCCATCTTCGGCGCACACGGCGTAAATGGGCCACACAAGCCTGGCATGGTACTGCTGGTCAGGGCCACTGCCAGGATGCACTGTGACAATACTTTCTGCAACTTCGTGAGATGGGTGGTTGGATGCTTAGACAGAGAAAGGAGGCACACACGACATTTTGTGGGTTTTTTGGTTTTCCTGTAAGGTGAGGACAGTCACACTTTGAAATGCCACACGCAGCTCTCTGCTTACGTTTTAGATACCTCGGTAATACATCTGTACAGCATGGTGTGGTCTGGTATCTGCCCTAAACTTACAAGCAAGCAAGCAATACGTTTATCCTGCAAATCTCTGGTGCACAACATAGGGCATTACTGCTGCCATCACAAAGATGATGATGTGTTCGCTGCACAAAGACTGTGCCACGAACCAGAAAAACACGGGTGTGCACCACCACATCTTACCTCCCAGCCAGGACTGAGTCTCCAAAAGCTCCTCCGTCATGTCTTCCAGAAGATGCTCCGCGGGGACGCTGAGGAGCGTGGAGGAGACACAGGACAGAAGACCCTGGCGCACATACCTGTTGGAGATCCAAGATTGAACTGGTTAGAGCCTGCAGCATCACGCTCTACCTTGATTTCCTCACCTCAGGGGTTCTCTCATTTCAAATGTTTGTGATTATGATGGCTTTTGCCATATTCCTACTGATCAGGAGTGTAATCATGCACCAGCTGGCAGTGCTGACATCCAGAGCCCCTGCCATGCTGTGGTGCAGGGAGTCTAGCATAATTCAGAGTTCTGGACAAGTCCGAGATCAAATCAGAAATTGGATGTTTACAGCATTTTGGCTAAACACCCTAATTTCTTTCAAGGGTTGAATGCTGGAATTGAATCTGAAGTTTTCTGAGCTCCCTGAGTAAACATAGTTTAACTATCACGTGGATAGCTGATCAAGAAGTTTGTCATGCTTTCTATAGGTGACGACTGTACCTCCACACTAGAAGACACTAGCTGAGTTCATATGTTGGTCTGACATTACAGCAATGCCTTCATTACATTTTCTTTCCATACTCAGTTATAAGAACACAAGGCTGGAGGAGAGCACAGAGTTCGTGCATTAACTCATCGACATTCCCAGTCAGGTGCAAGTCTTGGACAAAGACAAACCATGGCTGGAGACTGGTTGGCAGCTGATCTTTCAAAATTAAAGCATGCAACTACAACTTACGAGTCAGTGTGGAAACGCAGAGCCCAAACAAACTCCAGCAGTGCCTTTCCCATTGCAGCAGCTGCCTGCAAAACAGGATTATGACACAGGAACACTCAATACCTTCCCATTCACACCACATACAGAACTGGACCTTGAGATATGCTGTTGTGAACATTGGGGCTACAATTAACTTTATTTTACAGATAAGGAAACTTAGGCAGTAAAGTGAAATGATGTGCCCAACCTCCCCCAGAGGGTCATAGTTTTTCTACCAGAAGAAGCAGAAGATTGAGACACCCCTGCACTATCTCCTGTCTCCTTTCTGACCATTTTGTCTCAGCCATTTTTACAACCTCTCACCACATGCAACTCAAACTGGCTGCCAGTCGAGGTGTGGCAGCCCCTGAGCACACTGCTATTTCAGAGGGCACCTCCGAGTTCCCAGGCTGGAAGTCTCTCCCACTATCTGCGAGCTCACACAGCCTTTCTTACCACGGTGTTGACAGCCAAGTACATCAGGATTGCTAAAGTGTGGACCAGTCTTCCAAGGACAAAGTGATCTTCCCCCAAGAGATCAAATGTCGTCAAAGGCCTGCAAGTGCAAGATACACAGCCCTGTAGCAGTGAGCAGGCTGACCAGTGCACCTTCGGAACAGCCGGGCTGGTTATACAAGGCAAACTGTCCCCTACAAGCCTGAATCCCTAAAGCAACAGCTGTTACAGTCATTCCCAGTTTAACACAGGCCACAGCTGCTTGCCCTCATCTTTGCTCCCACACCGGTAACATCCTCAACTCTTGCAGCAGGTGTCACTCATTGCACCGACAGAGAGAGCGGCATGGAAATGCCAGCACCACTGCCATGCTGGAATAGGAACTGGTATACGAGAATCTTGACTCTCACGGAATCAATTACTCAGCCTTCCTTAGGAAAGCAAAGATTAAAGTGACCAACAACAAACCCTGTCCTGTGTCCACTACCATGGTGACAAGGACCAGGCCAGGTGACAGGCCTAGACCTGAGACAGCGACCTTTGGTTGAAGACTGCAGTCTGAGCTCTGCGGTTTGGTGTGAACCTCCCAAAGAGGAGGGTCAGCCAAGACAACTGGTTTGGTACTGCCAAAATCATTAGCCTGGGTACCTGCTGACACGATATTCTTCATAATGTATCTTCACTTCTGCAGAGTCTTTACACGCTCCTGCCCAACAAGACCTCATAGGATAAGCCCAAGAGACTACAAACGCCTCCTGTCTAAGCTTTATGCGTGAGCCAGGCATCAGTGTGGTGTCACTGGACTCCCACACAGCCTCTGGGCTTTAGCCTGCTGCCCTGAGGCCAGCAGAACCCGCAGAAAGGGTCACTGGCAGCTGCTGTGCCCACTTCCCAACATGCTCACACTCACCTGTCAAAGTGCTGAATCAGAGGAAAAAAGAAGTGCCCAGCAACAGAATTGAACTCATTTGGGCCCGAAGCCAGTTCCACTTGAGACTGACCCTGTCCAAGAGAAAAATGACATCTAGACACAGAACACAGCGTCTGACTCTTCCACTTCCCTGGACACTGTCAAGACTATGGGTTCCCTGCAGCCGCCCCACCGTCAGCCACAGCTTGGTTTGTACAGCTGTCACGACTAGTTTCCAGACTGGATGGGATGGCTCACTTCCCACTTCAGATCCTCCCACACATCTAAATATTCCAGCACACTACAGCTCCGTACTGCTGGGGCAGATATAAGAAAGAAGAACATGCAAGGGATAAAGGAGTTTTGGAAAGCAAGTTCTCCAGGGTGAACCACAGGGGAGTTCCAGGAACTAGGAAACTGCCATGGATTTATCTCTCTGAAAAACAGGAAGGCTGAGATAGTCCAGTCCAGAGGCAGCTAATCTGACGGAGGAGGCTCTGGGATCTGTGAGGTGCAGTCACAGCTCCCTGCAGCGGCCAGACAAGCTCACAACAAGCACACATCAGCGACAGCTATCCCTCAATGCAAGGCAAGGGGTTCAAGGTTTATTCTCTTCTCCCTGCCAGGAGAGGACTACAGAATTTGGTACTCTGCACTGAAAGATTCAGCCAGATACTAAGATAAATTTATATTTAAAGTTACACAGTCTTTCCTTTGGATTGGGCCCAATTTCACAGGTGTTTTGCTCTTTCTGGACAGAACTACAGCAACTCCTAGTGTCCCTTTTTTTGCTGGATTTGACATGAGTTTTTTTCTGCCCTGGCCTCACCATAGCAAATCTCCGAGTCTTGCTTTTGATCCTCTCATCAACAATTTTTCTCCAGTCCTTAGAGCTGTCATTTCCAGGAAGGAGCTGGATACAAGGTTTTTGGGCACCAGTATGCTTGGTCTTCCCATGGGATTTAGGACAGGACAGTTCCTGAGCTGCCAAAACCAAGACCTAGATGAAAAAGAAGGAGGTTCTGTTAAGAAGGGGTAATCCCTGTACTAGGGAACAACAGAGTTCCCTGCACCCGAACTGACAGGGACAGAAAGGCACAACGGGTTTAGAACGAAGAACAGCAAGGTAACTGACCCCCAAACAACCACCTGGCTCCGAGATACTGACCAAGCACTTGGTCACCTCGCCCTGAAACAGAACTGCGATGCCCTGAAACAGAACTGCGACACCTTCTTGAGAGACAGTAAGTGAAATGCTGTAGAAGGAGTCACAGGCAGATCGCTGTCTTTCAGGACGTTAAGATATCACAGAGTGATGAGCCTGCCAGTAGACTGGCTCCTCCTAAGCAGATGGCCATCGTATGTTTTGCATTCTGTGGGGAAGGAACACTGTAAAACTGGAGCGTAGCAGGGCTATGAACAAGGGGGGAATGCCAGGCACAAATACTTATGTAAGAGATTCCCGTGCCTCTGCCTCCTCCTACAAGGAATAAAAGGCACCTCAGGGAAACAGCACTGGTGCAACAAAGACACAAGAAAAGTGGGAAGTGAAGAGAAGAGCACTTACATTGAGAATGTCCATGCGCTGACAGAGACTGTAGTTCAGAGAGTAGAATTGGGAGGTCAAGTATTTTGCTACCTGTAGAGAAAAATCAAGGCGCAATGAACACAAATCCAGGCTGGAAACAGCCTTCCCACTAGTTCTGAAGGCACTCAATTTGAGGAGAAGTCCTGCTGCCTGTTAGTTAACAACAAGTCTCCAATAGAAGGGGAGAGACATGCTGTGTGCAATTATGGGAGATTCAGACCCTCCCACTTCTGGACTCCCAAATTACGTACATGACAAACAGGACTTTGCCATTCTTCTCTCCCTCCTGTGCAGAGGTACCAAACAACTGTCACAGCAGCTCTGCCGCTTCAAAGGAGACCTTATTGTGGCCTTTAAATACTTAAAGGGGGCTGATGAAGACGGAGAGAGACTTTTTACCAGGGCCTGTACTGGCAGGAAGAGGGGTAAAAGTTTTAAACTGACAGAGGATAGATCTAGATTGGATGAAGGAAGAAATTCTTTACTGTGAGGGCAGTGAGACACTGGCACAGGTTGCCCAGAGGAGCTGTGGATGCCCCATCACAGGAAGCTTCAACGTCAGGTTAGCTTTGAGCAACTTCATCTAGTGAAAGATGTCCCTGCCCACAGCAGAGAGGGTTGGAAGCACACGATCTTAAAAACATCCCTTCCAACCCAAACCATGCTATGATTCTATAATTACAATCACCAGTCGAGTCTTCTTCTAGAGAAGCCCTTTCTGCCTCGGCTTCCCTCTCTGTGAAGCAATCTCCCTTCAGTGCAACAAGTGCTTATCTTGTCAGGCATGCTCATACTAGAAGTCTCTAAACAGCTCCTCCAGTCCATTACAGCTCTGACAGTTTTCTCTTCCCTGTTGTTTCAGTCATCCATTGCAGGTTCTTCAGTACATAGTCCATCTCTGCAGAAATGCTGTCAGACACAAACTAGCCATTCTACCACACCCTAAGAGCTGCCTCTAGCAAGCTAGCAAAGAGACTTCGGCTGCTTAGTTTTGCCTGTGCCTCAACTGGAAAAAGGAAAGAAGGACTCACAGGTATTGGATCTGTGGTTAAAACAGCTACTTGAGCTCTCTGACGGAGCTGCACAAAGCCTTCAATGCAGGTCTTTTCCTCCAGATGCAACAGTATTTTTGCCAGCTCCACGCTAACCTGCTTAAAATATGAAAAAAGGAATCAAATACCTGCAAGTATTTTACTTCTCACGGGATTTACACAGCAACATCCATTTTCCATTTCTTATGTTTAAGCAAAGACAATGAGGGTATGGAATACAGGCAACATGTCCGTTACGTAGGACGGACAGAGAACACACTGAGCTAAGGGCCATCCAGACAGATTTCTCAAAACACTGCACAAACCCCTGTGCTGATTTCTCTGTCCACTGCTTTGGACAAGTGGTGGCATCATGAGACAGGAGGACGTGTCACCATAACTACTGGGTGGAAGGGTACAGCAGCACACAGCCCATCAGCTCAGTGACATCTGATGAGCAGCAGCGGATTGCACGTGGCTTACCAGAGCCCTGTATCTCTGCCACCTTCAAGTGTTCCCTAACAAGTGGTGCTAAGCGCTCATCACACTGGTGACCTTGTCTCAAGTTCCTCTCACCTAAGCTTTTAATCTTGACCAGTTCAATCCAACTACTCCCTCTGGAAGACATTATGCTTGTACAGGCAAAAAGGGAAAGTCCATTTGATTTTATCCCCCTTTTTGTTGGGGAATAACAAATTCAATTTCAATTCAAAATCAGTTAAATCCAAAATTAAAATCTATTAGTCTAGGGAATTCATGGCTGCTCTGTAACCTGCATTTCTAACATTTTTTTCTGCCCAGCACAAAGCATGGGGCTTCCTCACCTTACTGGCAAGCTCTGCTTACAATGAATTTCATTTTCAGCACTGGAGTTGCTAATACTCGAATACTGTTGCCAGCACCTTTGCATGCTGCTTTGTTCCTCTGAACTCTGTAGCTATTTCACTCTGTTTCCCTTCCCAAGCTGAAAGCTTTAAATCCAGGTACACAGAAGCCTGGCTTGCTGCCCTGTTGACATGTTTAGTCTCCTCGTGAGGACCAAGGGATAATCCTGTATTACAGCCCACTGGTAGCTTAGCTCATACTACTTCACCTCTCTTGTTGCTGCTGGATTCTTTCGAACCAAGCTCTCAAGAGCCTTGACTGTAGCTTCCCATTTGTCCACATCTTCAGATCCTGTCAGGACTGAAGGTAACCAAAAGACAAAACAAAAGCTATTAACAGAATGGTTGTGCTTGGGTATACACCCCCAACTTTCTCCTGCCAGTAGTTTGTCTTGTTAGAGGCAGGTATCACTGACCCAGCGCCTGACTGGCGTTAGGGACTAAATGGAAATTACTCAGAAAGTACAGTTCAACACTTGAGCCCAAACTACTGAAACCCTACAGCTTCTTCAAATTAGCTCAGAAAAAAAATAAACTTACACAGAGATCACTCTCCCAGAACCAGTAAGAAACAGATAAAGACTCAGCCCAACATCTCCTACCTTCAATACAGTCTCGGATATACACAGGAGCCTTGGGCTTTAGTTCTTTATCTTCTGACATGTCGTAAGGGATGAGGTCATCATCACTGTAAAAGAAATAAAGGCAGGAGTTGGTCTATGGGGTAGAAATGTTCTTCCTCTCCCCAGCTATCCACACAAAAGGGAAAGAACCAGCACATACGTTGTCGTAAAACCGCCACTCTTGCACCACCCAGCAGCACTGCTGAAGCCTAGCCTGAAAGGGTTCCTTAGGAAGTTCTGTGAATTACTCTGAAGCTCAGTGAAGGAGCAGTTCTGTGACCAGATCTGCAACTGGATCTTCTTGTCAAGTGCAAGGCATCAGGTGACCCAGAGACTAAAAGCGGATTCTTGAGATTTCTTTATATATTGGTAAAGTAACAGATTAAGGCAGGTCCACTGCTAAAATGGGTAGATATATCCATAATTCCAGGAAACATATATCTAAGTCGAATGGAATAAATACAGCGGTTGTACACGACGTGGGCTTTGCTCAAATTATTGACTAACATACTTGTGTGCACTTCCTACACAAAGTTCGATCCTGCTGCATACTGCTTGGCTGAACAAGGTCAGAAAGCACAAGATTTGCTAAGGAATGCAGCTACCAATAGCTCCCTCCTTCCCACATCTGCTCTTAAGAACCTGCCAGTTATATTTCCTACCAGTTTCTTGCACCATACCTGTCAAGTTCAGCATCTGACTCCTCATCTGGCATCACAGGGGCTGCTGTATGTGATTTCTTGTTACTTTCCAACACCAATGGCAGCGCAGCATCTGCTTTCTCATTCCTAAAAAAAACAAGAAGTATTAAAACCCATAAAGGAACAGTCCTTACTCACAAGCAAGAAACCACCCACACCATCACCCCTTGCTGCCTGCACAGAATGGCAGGCAGTTATTTCTGCTGCAGTCTCCCCGCTAGCTTGGCCTACACAAGAAACAAAGGCCTGGGAAGGAGTATGGGGGGCGGGGAAAAGAGAAGCAGAGTCTTTTCACAGAAGAGCAATGGATCACAGAAATGAAGCCAGCTAATTTGCTGTGTTCCCCCTGCGCTAGCTTGTATCTAGGACTGCAAAGGAAAGACTCATCTGCGATAACTGGATCACACTGGCCTGCACCATGTTTTTGAGGCTGTGAAACTGAACAAATGGGGAAGAAACATCTTTAAGCATTGCTAGTGGAACGAATACCATAATGGAGAAATTTTTTTCTGTCTCTGTACCTATTTCTGTGGACTCTGGCACGTCCTTTCATCTCTGCTTCTCAAATGCTGTCTGTGCTGATTATGCCCCTAAAGCAGGAGCAGTAAATCTTCTGTGTTTCATTGGAGTGCTGGACAGCTTCACTTGCTAACAACATGAACTGCTTCCTTCATCTGCTGATAAAACTGAGTGCTTCAGAGACCCTCAGCAGATGCCACAGAAGTTAAGAGCACCGAAGGACCAGTCTTTAGACTGACAGATATGGCAGAGTTTTGTCACGGATGAGTGGGCTGGGAGCACGTGGCCCAAATGCCAGATCTCCCAGATGCAAACAAAAAGGCCCATTTGATGCTTCCTGGGGGCACATAAGGCCCCTAGAAGCTGCAGCATGGTTTCACCCCATGCAGATATCAAACAAGCAATTTTAATACATACTACCATTCGAATTATGAATTTATCATAACTACACTCCATTGTAAGAAAAAGGTGCATTATAATGCTTAAGAATACGTAAGACAACTTGATAGTGTATGCAGTTCTAGTGCATAACTCAAAAAAGGTTTGGAAAAGAGCAAAAAAAAAAAAAAGTCATGGAGATGAATAGTAGCAATATCTTACCCATCATCTGGATGGCTGGGGACAACAGAGAACAGCGGAGTCTGCACCAGAAGGGACTTAAATTCTCTTGCTTCATCATCTTCTTCGTACTAGATGTTCAGAATAATCACTTGTTACTGCACTTTATTTGATTGCAAATATGCTCAGCATTAAACATTTGACCCTTCTAGTGTGTGCAAATGAAGACTGAATCATCAGGAGATGAACTCACACGAATCCCATTTATTTCAATCCCTGTGCTGCCAGCAGTAATGTATTTACGCTGTATACCAATCTGTGCTGTATGTAATCTTCGCCCCTATATTTAACAGCCTTGCCCGAATGTTATTTACAATCTTTAAAACATTTGATAAATAGCAATGTGACATGAGGGATGATGCAGGTTTTTAAAGAACTAATGTAATTCAATCATGTCATTCTTATAAACTCTACCGTGAATACCACAGCATATATCCTCATATCAATCTTGGAAATCTCAACTCAGAGCATGTCTTCCCACTGTGTCAAGGACTGAATGTTCACCACTAGTTTATGTTTGAAGCTGCCTCTCAACTCCCATGAGTCAGATTCTGATTCCTTCATGCAATACGATAATCCTCTAGCAATCCTTTATTCTCATCAGTTTGCTCTGAACTTTGCCATCCCATTACACTCTTACGGTCTTCTCAGGCACTTCACTATTTTCTATACATCTTTTTTTTGTCAACAGATATCCTATCTTTTTGAAAGTGCTGCTGCTGCCTCTTATTTCCAAATAATAAGCTTGTATTTCCTCTAAGCCCTGCACACCAGACACAAATTTCATTATAACCTTCACCTGAAACTTCAGGACAGGCCCATCAGTGTTTATTTTGGAACTAATGCTCTCCGCCACAATCATTCCCAGACGCCGTATCTGTGGCAGACTGCTGTCCAAGTGGCATTTCACACCCTCCATCATGCTCGTGAGCAGCTCTGAAAAAAACCAAACAGTGCATGAAGCAATGACAGAAACAAACATCCATCATTATGCTGGTTCCCTGAGAGGGCACCTTTAGCCACTCACCACCCCACAATGGGTAGAAAGGTAGGAAGGACCCATCCAACTGGGACTTCTCCTTCTGCAATGGCAGCACTGCCCTTCAGCACCAGTACAATAAACCCACGCTTTTTCATGGGGTACAAAGTTAACAAAACATTATATTCTGAATTGGGAATATTTCCGTTTTCACTAGAACAAAAAAGGATGGTAAGTCAAGTCAATCTTTAGCTTGTTTCTAAAGTGCTTCAAAGCCACTTAAGTGAAACGTCATGGAGGAATTCTGACCAGTACAACAATCACGGAGGGAGAAATTTCCCTCACCAACCATCTAGATAAGTTGAAAGAGGCAGATAACACCAGAATTTCTCAGCACACGGAGAATGATGGTTGCCAGCTTTACCAGACAGGCTTACTGCTGTTAGACTGACCTCCCTCAAGTCAGAAAAGCTTATCTTTTCAATAGCCCTCAGATAAAAAACCAGATGATAAAACTACAGTAACATTTAGTAAATAACAGGTCACTTATTCACCTAAAGAAGAATTAATTCTAGAATGAAACAGACAAAACAGGTTTTGTAAGTCAACGTTTTCCCCCCTACAAAACCACACACACACAGAAGTAACTCAAGACCATTGGACAGAAAGGGAAATTTTGGCCCAGAACTCCAACATGCTGTGCACTGTATGAATCCAGAATAGGAGGCTCTTGCTGGGAACTCACTATCCCTGCTCACGCTGCAGGGAACAAAATGGCATGGAGGAATGCGCGTGGATAGTCAGAGTCCAACCAAACAGCTTTTCATCCTTGCTGTACTTTCCCCTCTCCCCTTGGAAGCCTCACACACACTCTAACAGTAAGCCTATCAACTGCAAATCACACCATGCCTCTAACCAGTCCCTGAGTCAATCCTGAGTCTCCTGCGACAAAACTTAACAGTTCCTAAACCACTGTTCAGGTAAGAACCTTCGTTCAGAGATATGCTTCTGCAATTTTATCATTTAAATCTACGCACTTGGAATTATATCACATCAGTGCTAAAGAAAAGGAGGATTCCAGCAGCTGTTGGCCAAGATGAAGATGGGACGGTTTTGTTTATCCATGGATCAAAACAAGATGTTTTTCTACTCACAGTCAGAACTTCTGTTAAACAAATCTATCCTCTGCTTCTCTCACCACCTCACCTTGTCTGCAGCTCTGGATTTCAGGTTCCTTCAGGTGGGAGAGGCAGATAAGGATGGCCTTGCTGATATACTGCTGCTGCTCCAGTGGAGAGTGTTTCACAGCACTGCTGCTGCCCCAGGTCTCCAAGAGTTCTTGCAGCACCTGCATCAGACAACCCCAGTTGGCTTGAAATGGATCTTTTCTACGCACAAGTAGTCTTCTTTTTGAAGCACGTTTTGGAAATGTGCTTTCATAGAGCACATGATATATTCTGATGGCCCTCTGGTCTTCAGGCTTCCCAGTGAACTTCACACTCCCTACAAACGGAGTTAGCTTTGCATTTCAGAGCCCAAAACATCCTGTCCCTGACCAGCTGAGAACTCCACACCACCTGCATTTAATATATTGTTAAATACAATGTTTTCTTAAATTTAGAAGTGATAAATATGTTTATTTCTCATATATAAATATTATATGCAAAGTGATGCATAACATTGTCAAAACCAATACGACATTATATGGTTTTATGTGTTTTTAGTCTAATCTTACATAGCTGCCAGTACTTATGGATAATTTTAGAATTTGTAACTAGTGGAAAAAAAACCTGATAAAACGGTAGAGATTCCAGAAAATCAAATTTGCTAGAAGTTCCATCCTCACTAAGGAAGAGGCAGATGAGAGAGATTCTGAAGCACCATCCATTGGGCACACAGGCAGCTCTCAAGCAACTTCATGGCTTTTTTCTGCCATCTGCCCACACAAAGAGGTGATGGCAGAGGAAGCTGAGGAGGATGCAGGACACAGGACATCTGTCGGAATCCCAGCCTCATTAGCTCTGCTACTTGGAAGACAATTTATCAATTAAGTATGAAAAACTAACGTCGGCCGTGCAGAAAGTCTTTGATTTGTACATCACAATTTACTTGCAATGCGGTCAGGCTTCCCTCGCTCTCATGAACAGTAACAAAAGTGTCTTAGAGAATTACCAAAATTGTGCAGCCCACAGACACACATACATGCACACTCAGCGGATTTTTTTCCATCAGATATCTCACCACCACCATTATTTAATCTTACTTTGATCAATAAGGCACGCCGAAGGCTATCCAGGGACAGGTAGCCAAGGAGGTTCTGTAGCACTGCAGTCTGCAATGAAAACCACGAGTCCTGCTTTAACTGGGCATAAAGTTGTCATCCAGCAATGACAAGTGTATTTTTTCTATGTTGAACTTTTCATTCTAAGGGACTGGTTGACAATGTTCAGAAACAGAAAAGTAAGCAAATTTAAAAAAAAACAAACAAAACAAAAAAACCCCAACACACACATGCTGTTGCTGGGGGAATAAATGGAAAAACAGGACAGGAATACAGTACAGTATTTTTACCATCAAAAGCAGATCAGCACAGTCCCAGGCAAACATGGAACACAAAGGCTAGAAAACATCCCTCAAAAAAATCACAAGCCACAGAACGCTTCCTAACACCTTGTGACAAACCTTGCTGCACAGGTAGAAAAAAAAAAAGCCCCATCCTTGTCTCATCTCTTCCATTTAATTCTTATCACTGAGGGTGGGTCTGGCTTCTTCAGTCCCTTCCTTCAGATTCTAAATTAACTAGATATCTCTGGCTCCCCAGAACACTGAAATTATGTGCAAATAACCATTTGGTTCCAGAAGGAGAGTACAGTAATTCTGCTAATCACCATCAAACCGAGAAAGCATGTGAATCCCATGATCTCCGTCGAGAGATCAGCTGCTTCGGAGCTGACCCGGCTCCAACAGACTGACCGCACAGGGGGGTTTTTGGGAGATTCCTTCGCCAGGAAAACCCCCGAGGCAGCGGAATAACCCGAGTCCTGCCACCAGCTCTCGGGGGGGAGGCTGATGGGGCCCACGGGCGGCCGGGGCAACCACAGCCACCACCCTTCCCCCAGTCCTTGAATTCTTAGTGGGAGGGTAGAGAGCGAGCTCAGCCCACAGAGAGCAAGACCCTACAGCACCCTACAGCAGCAGAGGAGGCGGCTTGTGTAGTGGGACGCTGAAGTTCTGCCGGGTCCAGAAGCCTCATAAGGCAGCTGTAGGAGCAGAGCGAGCAGGCAGGGTTCCTCTGAGAAGAAGGGAAGAACTAGAGACCAGGAAAAGCACGAACATCCTACCTGACCCTCCGATCAGAATGGTAGGCACTCATCTCAGAGCTAAGGCTGCAGCTCTGGCTGAGGGGTCTGCACCATCTCCCCCTGCCATAGCCGATGCCTCCACGCAGACAGAGCTTCAGACAGCAGAGGCAACCGTACAGACCCTGGTATGTGGGAGGTGCCTAAACTGCTCTCCTGGGGTGGGGATGGGGACAAACCAGCCTGCAATAGGTGTGCCCAGGTCGCCCAGCTCCTAGAGCAGGTGGCCAAACTGCAGGAGGCAGTGGCAAGACTGAGGAGTGTTAGGGAGTGTGAGCAGGAGATAGATTGGTGGAGCCACACCCTACCATCCCTGAGGCAAGGGCAGGAGACAGAGGCTCCCCAAGAAGCAGAGGATCCCCTCCCCTCTTGCCAGCAGGGCGAAGGAAGGGAAAAGGAGGAGAATGGAAACAGGTCCCAGCCCCGGG